GTATAACGTGTCCAATACATTGTCACGGCTATCATTGTCGGAATAAGTTACAATGTGTTATAATATACAGACACGTATCGAAATATTATATCTATCTATTTAAAAAAATTGTGACATAACATATAGCTATATATTAATAATAATTATTTATATATTCGAATCTTAGTTGTACAATGTTTTGTCGCAGATACGTCATAAATCAAAGTCATAATAAAATAGATATTATAGCTGGATAGTATTATGTTATTTATAGCAATACAATACTCTAACGATGTATCATGTATAATTATACATATATCACACATTTTCACGCATGGAATTCTTGTCGGATATATTATATTTTGCGATGAATAATTCGCATAAATCCAAATGAAAATAACTTTGTAGACACAGTTGCTCGATAGTTGGAACGATATGATACAAGACAAGTTTATAAGAAATTTATTCCATAATAAATTTTATGCGAGAGCTGTAAACTCGAATCGCGATCCTCGAGATCAAAAATTCGAGCGAGACGTTTTCAAGTGTACACCATGAATAGATCATTATAGGTTTGTTTGCGTCGCATGCTCCAACATGTTCCAATATGTTCCTACCATAGCTCTTACTCACTCTAATGCGCTTGATAGAGTGAGTAGGAGCTATGGTAAGAGCACGTTGGAGCATGTTGGAGCTTGCCACGCGAACAAACCTTATATGTAAGCGTAATGGAAATTGATAATATAATTAATTGATCCGATGTTCAATGCTTTTGCCAAAGATGCTAATTGACTTTTGAATATTTGTGATTAACGAATTAGTAGCGTGTTGTAGTTTATAATCTTGGATTGAAAATTGATTTTATCCAAAATTATCTCAATCTCAATATTCGATCCTTAGAAAAACATTCTATTTAAAAGTATTTTTGAAAAAATTTATGACTCTCTCATCACATACTCTCTCTACAATAAGTCTCCATAAATTCGTATATATCCGAATAAATACAACGATTAATAGGTACAATTTTACTTTATTTTACTTAATTATGCAAAGTTGCACACACACACACACATATATATATATATTTCCATTTTTATATAAATATGTATATTTATTGTAAATACGATACTGATTTTCTTCCTTATATTATGAATTGTTTCGTACATAATATTTTAACTGGCACTATTGAACGTTCGATCGATAGAGACTAAAAGATTCGCGTGGTAAAATCTTTGATATTTTATAAAAATATAAGTTATATAAAGGGGAAAAGGGGCACTTCGATTATTATCATAAGTCGGGGCGCATATATCGCGTCCCAGGTCGATGCATGCTGCACCCTGTCGATAGACCGTGAACAGTCATTATTAATAATAATCGATAAACCAATTACAATGTTATCGGATTGCCGCTATCTACAGGTCGGCTGCGTAAAAGACGGCCACGTTCCCTAGCTATAATCTGATATATAGAAGCGCCCGAGGTACTTTTGCGTGAGCACACCGATGCTTTTTTATCACTTTTAACAGCACTGCAAGTATCGTCCTTGCAATACTAATTAGCCCGTTGTCCAATCAGAGAGATGCTGCACCCTACCTTGTGCCTAGATTCCGTGGATTCCCTTGCGTTCCACATTAGTCTTTTCGAATATATTATACTTTTTCTTCATACTCTTTATCTCAAAACATACATTTTTTATAGTGTAAAATATCCTGCCCACAACATTAGCAGTCAGCATTTTCACACTACTATTATCCTTCTTCTCTTTAATTTATTTTAAATAAAAAATAAAAAATAAAATTTTAAATATAAATACGTTTATTATAAATTGTAATTTAGGCATAAAAAGGCATGCATATTCGTCTTATTAAATATCAATAGAAAATTTGGTTTAAACAAATACTGATGGAAGAAAAAGGTTGCACACTATATACGGACAGTCTATTTATAGTTTTCATTAGATGGAACGTTTATAATATATACAACTATGCTATGTCGTGAAACAGTGTGCGATTTTGACCGCAATTTAATTAGACATTCTAATCTGCGTATACTTGAAGAGATATATGAATAAGTTTAAAGAATGCGATCGTGGGAGGTCTTCTTAGAAGGGCTAAGGTACGAATGCACAATTTGGTCTCGATCGATTTGCATATGGACCCAAGATTTCAAATCTCAATTAATACATCGAAAATATAATATAGCGATTAAATATTTTATAGTTGCAACTATGCGATTAACTTAACACAAAGATCGACGATGAGTATTGTTTCTATATATGTAATATGTTGAAATTTTAGTACGATAACGCAGCGATTTTATTGTTTCGCTATATGATTCTTTTCTTATACGTCTTGAGATGATCTTATACGTCGCAAAATAACATTACGTTTGTGTTTCATCTTTCTCAGAATAACTATCATCTCTGAATATGTATTGGCAATTTTTCAGATGTTTAAAAGTTACAAAGGGACATAGACGATAATAATCGCTTAATTTTTAAAAAAAGGCCGTAATTGACGTATCGATTTGATGCACAATTATGCTAGTTAAGCTATTTAAAATTATTCCTGTCTTTATACTTTTCGTCACTAATTCGCATATTTTTAACTTAATCGAATAATCTCGAAACTAATTTTATTAACATTCTCAGAAGGGCATGAGAGAATTTCATAACTAGACGTTCTGCAAACTGTATACTACAATATGAAACTTGGTACCAACAAAGCTATCTCCACAATATTGAGAATAGAAGAAGTTATTTTCACAAATATAGAAGCATTTTCGAAATTTCGAACTTGAATAGCTTGATATTATCGAGTATTAGTAATTATATTAGAGCTGCGTTATTGGCACTTGCAATTAGGACATTTTCCGATTAAACTATTTCCGCATGACAAATATTTAAAAGATGAAAAATTAAAAAATAATGTTAGACCAGTCAACAGTATTACATTGTAGAAAAATATGCTACGGACATCGCTGTGGGTTAGGCATTTAGTGTGCTGAAAACTGACCCAAGCGATATTTACTCTTCTATATATTTATATCTAGTTGCATGTTTCATTTCATGGAATTACTTTAGCTGACATATTTTCTTGCAATTGCCATCAATCATAATAATTGCAATCTTAAATCGTGATTTGTACAACTTTCTTACGTTTAATTTATATACAATTTGTTTTCAAGAAAAGTATTTCACACAAATATTGTCTTTTTATAGATATTTCTTTTTTCTATATTTTTATTGTCACATTTTTATAAATCAAATTATAATTGTTCTATTATTCCATTGATATACAATAATAATTTGAAATTGTTAATTAAATAAAAATGCAGAAGATAAACATGATGCTTGTGCATTGAAATAAACAATAATTTTCAATATTTTCAATATTCAATATTTTCAATAATTTGTTGACGAACGATTTTAGAACATTATTCGAGTTGATTGTGCTTTGAATCTTTTAATTCTTTATTGTTTGTAATTCAACTGGCTGAAGACTAAGTAATGCATCATATATTGTATATCATTGAAATATTAGACTATTTTTAAATTTATTCGTTTTGACATTACAATCTTGAGTTTGAAATTTGACAATTGTTCGAGTTGTTCTTAATAATGCAGAATAACCATTATATATCGATTTTAAATACGATGTGGTGTATATAAACGCTTGTAATTATCGTCGCGTAAAATCGATAAATTATTTTTCATGAGACTATTACACCGGCCCGCTGATAACCCTAATAACACAGACCTCCAGGAGATGTTCTTAAGATGTCCAGAGGACGTCTGTATGTCCTGTGAACATCCCCAGGATAAAGTGTGCTATTAGGGAACAAACGCCTGCATATCGCTCACCTATTCTGGATAGTCAGTCACTGGCGCGGCAGCAGTTCCGAGCATCGCATCGTTCCAAACCTGAATGGCGACCACTCGAAGAACTTACGCAATGACGCGTGCCAACGTACTGCAAAAACATGCCCATTCAAGATTTCCGCCATGATTGACATTGCACTTGCTCCCAATTTATGTTACTAATATATATTATATATATTATATATATTTTTTCTATTTTTTGCACTAGCTTTCATGTAATTGTTGATTATTATGTAATTTAGATTTTTCCTACTATTAATGCATAAAATAAAATTATGATCTATCATTAATTTTCATTGCAATTAATGGCGACAATAAAAAATTGTTTATTTCTATTATAAATTAATAATTGAAAGTTATTTACTTATATAGTTAAATAAGTATTGCTTTATTATATTTATTTTGTATATGCCAACTATAAAGTAAAGTTTTTAAGTATCGCGTATAAATCCCGAATAAATTACATGCTGTCTTATTATTTGATGCTCATTCAAATTATGAGTATTCGATTTATGTAATATCATATAATGCTAATGGTGTCTGTTGGGTTCATTGTTTCGTTAATGTAAGGAACCGCGGAACTAATAAAACTTATCTCTACAGTAAGTAGCAGTAATAAAGCCTGTTACTGTAGCATGAAAGCCTAACAGGTCAAGATCTATTGTGCTAATAATTACGTGTACAGCATAACGTATACATTTATTTTAACATTTTTATGTAAAAAGATGAATTTTATTTTGCACTATAGTACGCATTAATCTTTCGTTTCCTCTTTCATATACAAATGGGCGTGTGCGCGCATGTTATTCACGCACCTACTCAGCGTGCATATACCTAATAAAGTTATACATCAGAATATTTAAAAAAATTAATCAGAATATTATAACAATAATACATTTACATTCATGCACGTACGCACGCATCACACACACACACACACACACACACACACACACACACACACACACACACACACACACACACACAAAATTTAAAAGTCAGAATGACAATGTTATCATATACATCGAATGCTATCGATAGTAGCAATAAATAAACACGTCATATTACATCCTCTTATTAATATTTCTACGTAATAAAATATAAGATATATCATTAAACGTAATGTTTTTCTTTTCAGGTCGCTGGGACTCGTAATATTTATTATATCAGCATACGTGCATGATTCTCTCGCAAAACATGTAAGTCTATTTATATATAAAACAAATAATACTTACATTACAGTATAAAAACATCACGAGAGTTATCTTGAAGACCAGAATAAAGTCACGACAAGGGTCTCAACACGTCTTGACGAAATTCTCTCAGGTTTTATTGCCCTCTCTTTGATGATGGTTCAGGTTTCAAGGCCTCCCGGTCTCTCACACAGATTATCTTGGTACATTTTGTTCCTAGGAAACCCAAGACAATAGGAAACATGAAGATTCCGTAAACCATTACGACGTAACCAATAATTACGGATGGCCTTCGAACTTAACCGTAACCCATATTTCTCTTTCTAAACTTATTCATTAACTATTTTATCATCTACTAGGATAATTTCTCTTTCTCTTTTTTCCCCTTTTTCATTATAAATGATATCTTTGAAATTATATAAATGTTATTTTATAATATAATGATAAAACCTTATCTATAATGGATGTATATTCCTCTCTTTTTACTTCAGTAATAAATACTTCAGTTATAAATAAAACATTGATTATATAATGCTAATTCCTACGTATCTCATTAAATGTTACTATTGAATGTTTCATTAATCTTCACAGTGAGTTTTTCTCGAAATTTTAAATATAATAATTTGGATTAAAAACCGATTAAACTTACCATTGTTCTTTTTGAATTATTATAATATTTCGATTTAATATAATTTTTTAAATTCTGCTTTTCACACGATTATAAAAATGTTTCAAAGACATTTTTATTTACTTAATCTAATAAATTTATTTTGCTCGTGAAATTACAACGCAAATTTTACATTCCTCCTATTTATACCTGTATGCCTCCATTTTCTTATTCTCCGGGGATCATAAGAACGTTTTCTAACAAAATTTCTCTTCTTAAAAAAAGTTGTCGGGATGCTATAATTTCCATTTACAAATCTAATCTGATCTGACCATTATACTTTCAACATTGTCGAGTTCTTCGATCTTGCGCAACTATTTCTTTGCAGATCAAATTTTACAAAAATGGTTGTTAAAAAAATATGATAATAAATTAAATTGTATAATATATATAATATTTTTTTAACAACCTATATTGCTCGTTGTAGCCACGGTATCGATTATATTTATTTACTTATTTATTTTTGATAAATACTTCTTTCTCATCATTATGTAATTGTATGTAATCTCTGTATATTATCTTGAATATCGTCGTTATTTCGGTTATAAAATTTAATCTTGAGGATGAACACACGGATAAGAGAAACGAATTATAGATCGCAATAATCTTATTGCATATAAGTACATGGCTAGTGTGCTTTTGCAATGGTCATTGTCTGTATCCAACAATCCGCGTCCAATTTATATGGGAAATAACTTATAACCTGAGAAGAATCGAAATCTTGTTATTACTCATTCGTAGCAAAATGTACGCAACTTTCAACCTTTTATAATCATTATGTCACGTTTGCAACATAATCGCAACTCATCTTCAAATAAGTGGAAAGTATTTTCTTTATACCTAAAAATATTTCGTGGGATAAAATAAATTGCCGAATCTTCAAGTTTGCTAATTATAATAAATTTGCTATTATAATCTTTATTTATAAATTATTATAAGCATGACACAACTTAACAAAAATAAGTTTAATTAAAATTATATAGATCTAAAATTTGATATTGGCAACATAGTTTTAAGAACGTTGTAAATATTGTAGAAAGAGAAAACAGAAAGGAGAAAAAAAAGAGAAAGAAAGTGTCTTCTTTCAGTAGTATTTCCTTATTATTATATTAAAATGAATCTGTGAATACAACGCTGTATGTAATATGTAAGTAAAGTTAAATAAACAAATAACAAGAAAGAAAAGAAAGCCTTTAACGGTCAAGCTGGATCTTAAGTGTTTAAATAATTCTATGGTGAATTTATATATCTACTATCTATATAGTGTGTCATTTAAATTGCGCGTCGAATTGATTTTTCAGTCTTGAAACACAAACCGATTATGTGAAAACTACACTATACATATATTATAATAATATCACAAAGTAAATTACTTAGTAATTTACTAATTTAATGCTTATGCATCTTATAAAGATCTTAATAATGCTAGATAATATTAAAATCTGTACATAATTATTACATTAATTATAAATAAATAATTATTCTATTATATTCTATTATTATATTATTAATATTGTTTAAAATCAACTAAATTGATTGAAATACCGATAAATGGATAGTATTGTGGCACAGTTTTAATTATGAAAATTATTCTTTATACGTCTATCTCAGATTACACAATTATGCAAAAACAGACCTTTTTTTAATACCTGAATAAATAAAGTGTTTTCCAGTGGATTTTTGCTCGTTGAAAACGAATCCGGCAGCGAAATTTGCCTATCAAGTTGGCATTTTCATTCATATTTATCATTTTTCTGCAGCCAAAATAATTTTTTTTTTCAATTTCATTTACACCACTTTAAAGTGCTATCTTTTACCTATAATATAAATTTCTCGGAAATCTGACGTGGCCAATTTCGCTACCGGATTCATTTTCAGCGACTAAAAATCTATCGAAAAACACTTCGTTTATTCAGATCCCAAAAAAGATCAAAAAAAGTGTTATTATATTTTTCAATACCTATACTGATCTGAAATTAGATGAAGAAAATTTGTAATGACAAATTTGCGAGGATTTGTATTTTTAAATTTAATTTAATTTTAAATAAAATAAATGCGTCCGCATGAATGTGCTGTCGCGTATCAAGTATATAGTACTCGAGACATTCGTAAGGACCCGCAATGAGATTATTAAGCGTGGTAATTAAAAGTGATGTGAAGAGAAAGGAAAAAACTCATACAGCAGTGACTCATAGCTGTTTTTTACTAACATTAGTGCAGTCCTGTTCAGACTGCGTGACTAATCTAATGTAAGTTAAGTGGTTATTATAAACGCAAAGGAATTTTGAAAACAAATTTATTAATTTTGGCAGACACGCGACATCGCGCAATGGTATGTCATGAAATTCGCATCGTTAAAATAAGTTTATCTATTTATGAGAGATTTTGTTATGTGCATAATTTGTATTGATGCACTAATTAATTTTTTACATATTTATATAAATATGTATAATTGCCATTATACTTCTATATATAATGTATATATTTCTATATAAATATTAAATGAATATCCTACCAGTTATTTTATAACGTATGGCAGCGTATTGTACTTCTTCTAGCTTCTTCTTAAAATAATATTAATATAATTTTAATTTTATGAACACTTAAAAAAATGTGTATGCGCGCGCGCGCGTGGTATATACATATATATTCATTATATATTTTGGTATATATACATCCGTCAAATTATGAGACGAATTTTAAACGAAGAATAAATAAGTGTAAACCGCTGACGTAATGACACAAAATAACAGAACAACATATCTTCAAGATCACAGCAAGATTACTTGTTGCTTCTCTGCTTCTGTATATTCCTCTTCGCTTTTTATAATAATTCACCACAGAAAAATAACTATGATACGCATATGAATCTTTAGTTTTAGTTTTAGTTACATTATTGAAGTGCTATCAACAAACTCGCGGAAAAATTGACATTATAATAGTCCTATTATTATTTGTGTCGGACGTGAGGTCAGACAGCGACAATATATATGACAATTATTAAGAAGGAGGCGTGTCGAGTTCGACTTTCATGGTTCATCGACTGACCTCTCGCATCGGGAGAGAGAGGCCCATTTCTCCGAACCATTTAATTAACTCTTCACCGCGCAATCTTACGGAACATTCTACGATCGTCAAATTTCATATACGACCGCTATGTCTCGATCTCAATAACAGCGACCTTTAAAACTGATTGTCCGCGGACGACATAATATGCATTGCCCAAAACAATACTCAATTATTGTAATAATTTATATAAATCTCAAATTGTATATAAAGTTTCTTTTCGTTTATATAGTACCTACACACAGTTACGCAGCAAATATAGACGGTAGATCTTACGTGTGCATAAATTACGTATGTACATAATTATTTAAATAATGAATTTTGAAAAATAGTGGGTATATTTCTTAAGAAACACATTGATGCACGAAATTCTGAGAATATTTGAATGGGAAATTAATTAAAAGTTTTACAATTATATAAATTTGGATATATCAAGTGCAACACAAAGATTAAATAAGGGATTACTAGTACCTACACTTTTTCATGAGAAAAAATTTAGTCTGTAATCAATTCCGACAAATTAATGGATTGAAAAGTACGTTCTTTAAATATGTTTCACGTACGATGCATATGAGCTGCTTCCATTTTTGAACGATTAAAATGTCACAAGTGGCAAACCGCAACTACTATTGATATCCACGAAGCTTAACTGTACGTCGCGTGGATGGTTCTCCAGAGGCGAAGACTGCAGGTGAACAAGGGGGCACTCAGCGCGCGAAATGTTTCCTTCGCACTTACGTTCTCACGGCAGGCCACATCTTTTTCACGCGACCCCGTCTGTGACCTCGTAATATCTATATACTCTCTCGACGCACGATGCAGCGCAGCATGGAACGAGGAAACGCGAGTACAACGTAATAAATGTATTTCTTTTAATCTTGTTTCAGTATCACATAAAATTAAGGCACGGGAGGCATCGCCGACAACATGGCGAAAGTTATCTGCCTAGCAGCTTCGTATCAGACACAGATGAGCCCGAGAGAGGCAATTGGGGACCATGGTCGACACCCAGTTCCTGTTCGCGCTCCTGCGGTGGCGGGATCGCCCATCAAACTAGACAATGTCTCGATATCGAGTAAGTTATTATACTTGCCGAGCTTTTATGCATTCATTGTCTATCTGCTACCACACTCAATTTGTATTAGAATGCCGCACTCTCGTAGTGATGAGTGATGTTCAGAGTAATGTTCAAATGAGATGCGTTGAAGACGAACTTGGCATGTACGAGAAAAACGAATGTCTTAATGTCTATTTTGTGGAATTATTGTAGAAAACGGAAATGATAGTACTGCATTTTTCGTGGATGTGAGACATTGCAAACTGTTAATCTTTTTTTATAGTTCTTATGACATTTCCTAGTAAGAAATTCTCTGTGCAATGTAGGAAACTTTAACAAGCAAATATAAATATTCTTCCACAATTCTAACTAGATATTGTATGTACATACAATATAAATATTGTAAAAAAAATTATTATCAATATATGATGTCTGCTATGCTTTGTAATTGCGCTTACTCAAATTCACAAAGCATATGAAAAAAATTTCAAAACTACTTTGAAAATTGTTCTTCGTTAAATGTATCCAAAAGAAGACATTTCGTCTCCTTGAGCTTCTCGTTACCTTTAGAATTTGTTACAACGGTATGCTCAATCCGATTGAGATTGGATTAAAAGTGGATACAAACTTGCAAAGAATTTAATCAAATCTCGATGTAATATTGTGCAGCGAATTAAATAAACTGCTCAAAACATTGATAAATGTTGCATACTCTACTTGTATAACTTACAATATAATTATACCGTGATAATTTACAAACTTTAGTATGTAAATAATGTAAAAAAATTTGTGATGAAAAAAAGTATAAAAGTATCATTTTTTAATATATATATAACTTTAAGCTCCTATAATATTATTGATATACATTTCTTTACGTTGTATTTAAAAAAACACTTTGTTGGAAAGTTATATAATTAGAAATTTTATTTAAATAAAATGATAAATTGTGAATAAAATGATAAATCAAATATATATAATATACACGAAATCGTCAACCAAATCTTTTTACAGTGCGCCGCCCGCGCCGCACCCGCGCCGTACGTCAGTCGCGATTAAATTTGGGATAAATCAACAAAACTTTTCTCCTAGCACACGCCAACGTAACAGATCCTCCGTAAATCCTTCTTATCTCGAAACTAAGGGAAGATTAATCGTAGGCACTTACGCGTCTCTCGACGTCACGCGCTATCTCCGAGAAATTCTCACAATTTCCCATCGCAAAGACGAAGTTGATTTTATCGGAAGAGTGATCGATCGATGATTGACATTGTGTTATATAGTGGCTGATTGGGACAAGCTCATCGCTAATGATACAGTATGAATCTTAGAAAGCGAGATAATCGTATCTAATGTGAAAGCACGTAATGAGCGTAATGCCCGCATCGCATTAGACAGCTCCTCACATCGAATGCATCGTGTCACGCAGGTCATATGAATGTATTGGCTACGATTCAATCGCGCAGGAAACGCTTTATTTTCATGGTAATTGTCAATGATGTACTTGCTGTTTCTATAGTTGAGAGATATATAATTTTGATCAATTAGAAATTGCTAATTAATCATAAATCAATAAAGGAAACGTTATGGTTATATAATAGTATCTTCTTTTAAGTATTTCATATTCATATTAAAAGTGATTTGAAACAAGCGTTTTCATAAATAATGCAATATTTCCGTTATATATCAACAGTAAATTATAATAAAACTTTGAAAATGCATCCATTGTAATCACTTATGTACATAAACTCTACGTACGTTAATAAAACACAATATGTAATGCTGTAAATCGTAAACTACGTAAATTTTGAAATCTCCCACTAAAAATTTTATCAAGCAAAAAGAGATATTAATAATAGAAATTCAACAGCCTATACCGGTCGAAGCTAAATCTTTAATGCTTTAAATAATTCAATGT